CGGTCCGAAACAGCTGCAGTCGCAACAGCTCAAGAGGAACACACCCTCGCAGGCTTGGCTCTGAATGCAAACCGGCGTGTGTGAACGAAAACCAGTCTTCCGGCACAGAAAGCTTCCGCCGCGAGGGAGGACAAACATTGCACCGCATAAGCCCCAAGTGCACGGGCATGTCGCCAGCAAGGACCGGAACATCCTCCTCACCCAGTGCTGCTGCAGGGCTTCGGTGGGGTCAGCCCACCACAGATGAAAATTGCCGTTGCCTCTCGCCTAACAAGTCAGAGCTACACGCTGCGACGAGCACACCGAGCGAACCTGCTGCTGCTTCATGCTGGCACGGTATGGGCCGCGAGCGGGCACGCAAGATGCTGGCACAGGGAGAAGACACGGAGTCTCGTAGACTGTGCGAAAGCTTACCAGATTTGGGCCACAAAAGAAAACTTTTTGTGACCATCTGCAAAGCGACTCCCTGGCGTGTGGGCAGTGCCAATGAGCGGGAATTGCACGTAGAGTACATGCAATGTCCACAGCATGCGCAGCACGAGCGACATTCTGTGAAGAAGTCAAAATCATTACTGGCTGGTTCTCACGGGCGGCTGCATCCTGACCCAGTTCGCGAGCTGGCCGTCTGCGCCACAAAGAAATGCACATCCGGACCCCGCTCTGCAAGATCTGCACATCTGCCGAAGTGGCAAGGCTTTGCTGCCGTGATTCCCGACGCGCATGCCGCATAGCTGGGATCCGCGGCCAAGTGCTGCTAGCAGAGGCCTAGTGCTGCGCTATGCACCTGCTTGGATTATGATGCATTGTAAAACCTCCGCTAAGCTTCATGAGACTTTGTTGCCACACTCAAGCGCCGTAAATGCACATCGGGCGGGTTCGAATAGATATTTAGGCAGGTGTAACCGACGCAGCTGCCAGCAGCGAGGATGTGAGTCTGCATAGTACAGACCTCATCACCACGCTAAGAAGACCGCAAAACCTTTCGGAACCAAAGGCCTTGGGCCTAGGGAGCTATAACTCTGCAACTACCCGGCATTGAATGAATGAGCCTACGTACATTATCTGCTGCATTGCACACGGGTCACAACACATACGTACCGGCCATCCGCTCGCCGGCCCAACGCTCGCACCCTGCAGCCAGTTAGTGACTGCGTTGAAGTCTCATCGCAACTTCATTGATTGCTCAAGGTGTACCGCTTGCAGAACTTTCTGTTACGCGTGCAGTTGGCGCTTGTACTGCCCAAACCTTGTACGCAGGCTGAAACCGGCCTGAAAAGCCACAGGCCCATACCTAGCTGGAGAGTACCAGGTAAGCTACCAGTTGACCCAGCACCTGGTCGGTGTTGCAAGCCGCCAGAATCTGTCAGCACCTGCACAAGCACCTGCAGGAGTTTGAGACGAAGTGGTGCGACGCGCAGGTCGTCCTCCACGTGACCACAGATTTAGCATGGCAGCGAGGGCATATAGGCAAAGACTTGTACCGCTGCACCTGCACAGGTAAGGTCGCATGAGCAACACGACTACAATTACCAATAACCATGAGGTCCTGTTCAAAACAGATGGTTTTGCACAGCACAGCGGTATGGCGCACGCACACACACACACACACACCCACACGCACATGTTGGGTCGTACAGCAGAGCTGTAGCGCCCACACCGTGCAAGCAGCATGGCATGGCACAGCCGACCCGCCCAACGCAGCAGTTGCACAGCGGAGCTGCCACGCCCACACAACTGCACAAAAAACTTTGCTAAATTTGCAAGGCAGAGCTGAAGCGCCCAAACCAGCAGCTGCACGGCAGAGCTGCAGCGCCCTTACCGGCCAAAGTATAGCTTTGCTAACTGCTAACTGCGCCTGGCACAGCTGCAGCACCCAAACCAGCGGTTGCACGGCAGAGCTGCAGCGCCCATGTCGGCCACAGTATAGCTTTGCTAGCTTTGCATGGTGGAGCTGCAGCACCTAAAACCAGCCTTTGCACGGCAGAGCTGCAGCGCCCATACCGGCCCACGTAGCCTTGCTAGATTTGCATGGCAGAACTGACGCGCCCCAAACCAGCCTTTACACAGTAGAGCTGCAGCGCCCACACCGATGCACGAAGCTTTGCTAGCTTTGCAGCTGGCCAGGCTGCAAGAGCCCAGACGGCCAAGACCAGGTCAGGAAATTACGCACGGTGGAGCTTAAACAGCCCGCCCGAGCAGCACGCGTGCTTGTGCGTAGCGAAGCCGTAGGTGCAAAACCAGCAGAATTGCTTTATTTGCACGGAAGAGTTTCCGCGCCTAGGCGGGTTCAAGAAGCAACGCAGGAAAGCGCGCAGGCCCAGAGCACGGGCGGCTGCTGCAGCACGGCACGGCTGTCGTCATACCAAGGGGCCTTAGATCCATCAGTCGGGACCCGGCGCTGCGCACGAACGCATGACCCCGACTGAATACGAGCTTATCACCTAGCGTAACAGTATAGGCAGTATAGGCATCACCCCTGGCCGCAAGTGGTGATACTCTGGTTCGCCAGTGCTCGCTAGAGCACAGGGTCCTACGTGAATTCGTTACCCAAAAAAGGCCCCAAACCCTTCGGCCGAAGTGTCTGTTTCTCAAGGAAGACCCGAGATTCCGCCGGGACCACCACCAAAGCAGGCTTCTAGCAACGGGTCCATCACCCAGGATTGCGGCAAATGCGCAACTAAGAGCTGGGACCTGCTGCACATCTTGCATCTGGTGCCGCATTCACACTTCTACGCCACTAGTTGGATGCCATCCAAGCTCTTGTTGACAACGCCGGCAACGTCAAAACCTGCAGGCTGATGGGTAGTTGGAGGCCAGTTGAGTGGTAGCTAAACGTCAATCTCTTCTTGCTACTGGGCAGTTGGATGCCATACATGCAGTGGTTGAAGTCGCGGCCAACTATCAAACTTTGCAAGCTACTGGGTAATTGGATGCCATCCCACGCGCGATTGAAGCGATTGCCAATGCCAAACTCTACGGGCTATGGGCAGTTGGATGCCCTGAGGCTCTGGTTGAAGTTGAAGCCACACCTCGCGCTCTGCAAGCTACTGATTAGTGGGATGCCATCCAAACTCCGATTGAACTCCTGTCCAAACGTCAAGCTTTGCCGGCTGCTTGTTTAGATGGACGCCCTACAAAATCTTGCTCAAACTGAAGCCAAACGTAAAACGTTGCAGGTTGCTGGGTATTTGGATGCCATCCAAGCTCTTGTTGAAACTGGCGCCGAACAGCGAATTTTGCATGCTGCTGGGTAGTGAGATGCCCTTCAACCTCTGTTGAAACTGCATGAAAACTTCAGATTCTGAAGTCTGCTGGGTAGTTGGATGCCCTACCAAGCAGAGCAGGCTGCTGGGCAGTTGAATGTCCACCAAGCTGTGGTTGAAGCGATTGCCACACCTCAAACCCTGCAGGCTGCTGGCCAGTTGGATGCCCGCAAAGCACTGGCTGAAGTCGAAGCAAAGCATCACATTCTGCAGGCTGCTGGGAAATTGGATGCCATCCCACCTAGCGCTTGTTTAATCAGTAGCCAAACGCCAAACGTTGCAGACTGCTGGGTAGTTGGATGCCAACCAAGCTCTTGTTGAAACTGTCCCGAACGTCAAACTTCGCATGCTGCTGAGTAGTGGGATGCCGTCCAATCTCTTGTTGACACTGTATCGAAACGGCAGACTCCGAAGGCTGCTGGGTAGTTGGATGCCCTACACGCGCTGGTTGAAGTCGGAACAAACGTCACAATTTGCAGGCTGCTGGGCAGTGGATGCCATCCAAGCGCTGGTTGAAGCGATTGCCACCCCCCAAACTCTGCAGGCTGCTGAGCAGTTGGATGGCCGCAAAGCTCTCAGCGAAGTCGAAGTCAAACGTCCAACTCCGCAGGCTGCTGGTAGTTGGATGCCATCCAACCAAGCTCTTGTTGATACAGTAGCCAAACGTCAAAAGTTGCAGACTGCCATACAAGCTCTTGTTGAAACTGTAAGACTTTGAATATCTTTGAATGCTGCTGGGTAGTGGGATGCCCTCCCATCTCTTGTTGAAACTGAATCGAAAACGTCAGATTCTGAAAGCTGCAGGGTAGGTGGATGCCCTACATGCGCTGGTTGAAGGCGGACCCAAACGTCTAACTTTGAAGGCTGCTGGACAGTAAGATGCCTTCCAAGCTCTGGTTGAAGCGATTGCCACCCCCCAAACTCTGCAGGCTGCTGAGCAGTTGGATGGCCGCAAAGCTCTCAGCGAAGTCGAAGTCAAACGTCCAACTCCGCAGGCTGCTGGGTAGTTGGATGTCCTGGTTGGGCCGTTGGCTTGAAAGCCCAATGTATGTGCCACTGTTTCGCCCCAGAGCGGCTACATAAGACAGAGTCTTCCCCTCGAGTAGTAGCTACCCAAGATCACGAAGGGGGCTTTAGTTGGGCCGAGGTCCTTCTCAACGTGCTTGCGTGGGCAAAGGATTGCACCGGCAACGAGGCCGGACACACCTGAGCTAATACGCACCACGGTTGACCCTGCAAATCGAGAGCTCCCAGCTGGCCAATCCAGCCACTAGGTCCCCAAACGCAATGGCACGAAGGTGCATAGATCAGAAGGACCCCAGGGCCAGCATGATGCAATACGCACTGAAGCGCACACGCTCCAGCAAGGATCCGTAGCCGGGCCCGGTGTTTGCGAAGTCCGCCACCGTTGAGATAATGGGCCAGCGATGATGGCGAACATCATCTGGAACACATCGAAAACAAGACCCGGAAGCGTGTCCCAGTTCTTGATATCAAGATGCGTCCAGAAGCTGTAGTCAAAATTGCCAATGAAAAGACCACAGCTACACTGCTACACTCGCTGTTGTTGCCAAAGGCCCATAGAAGCCAAACACCCACGAGTGACAATGCCATGAACACGATCCTCAGCGCCACGGTGTTGATTATGTTGGTGTCGCGGACCAGGCCTCCTATTGACGTCAACACCCAAGCAACAGTACCTGCATCTTCAGTTACTGTCGAAGGTGCTACTGCATATTACGTCAGCATGGAGTACGCCGCAGCCACGAAAGTGGCTGCCACTGCACGAGCCGCCTTCCATCGTGGTGGACAAAGCAGAGCCACCGATGAATCCCAACCAGCCAAACCAAGAAGGCAGCCACCCAAGATCACGAAGGGGGCATTGGCTGGGTCGAGGTCCTTCGAAACGTGCTTGCGTGGGCCAAGGATTGCACGAGCAACGAATCCAGACACACCTGAGCCGATTTGCACCACGATGCCACCTGCAAAGTCAGAGCTCCCAGCTGGCCAATACAGCCACCCGGTCAACAACCCCAATGGCACGAAGGTGCATAGATCAGAAGGTGCCACAGAGGGGAAATACGCTTGATGGCAATTGCCACGCTGCGAGTGGCTCAAGAAGATGCGCACCTTGCCGTCGGCGTTCCTCTTATAGCCGAAAGTGTGCTCCACTTTGGTCTTACTCCCATCGGCAGCGCCAGTGAAGAAGTAGGTGCCCATGGCAGCGGCGACGTGCCATTAACATCAATGTTGTGGTGCTGGAAGACCACGGCCAACCATCTGTGTCGCCGTTGCAGCAAAACCAGCAACCCAAGCATAGTTGCTCTTGACCGCTTCATGCCCAACAAAGTAGGACATGGCATCTTCGGCTGTCGATCGAAACTGTGCTTGGGCTGCCAGCATTCACTCGACTTCTGCTTCTGTGATGGCTGCAGCTGGAGAAGCTGGGGTTACGCTCACGGCACTGAGGAATGGCGGAGGAAGACGCGAACTGCTCTCCGAAGCACTGGTGCAGAAGTAAATACCCATGGCAAAAGGCAGTATTGCCATAGAAAGGGCAGTTTTGCCTCTGGCATCGATTTGGTGATTGTTGAAGACCAAGGCTGAGCAGCCCTGCCACCGTTCATGGCAACGCCTGCATCTTCAGCATACCCCGTCTGTACTGCTTCATCCCAACAAAGTAGGATACAGTCTCTGTGGCAGCTGGTCGAAACGGAAAGAGGTTCGTGTCTCGTCATCGCAGGCTCCCCCTTGCATGGGTTTCCAAGCAGCGAAAGGCACTGAGAAGTGGTGAAGCAAATGCCCGTCAGCGTTCTGCTTGCAGCCGAACGTGTACTCCACCCTAGCCTTGCTCCTCGGCAGCGCTGGTGAAGAAGTAGCTGGCTACGGCAATGGCAACATCGTCATGACTGCGATTTTTGCGGTTCCGGAAGACCACGTGTGACCATCCCTGCCGCTGTTCATAGCACATCCAGCATCCTCCAGATAGCCATTCTCGACCGCTTTGCGCCCAAGGAAACAGGACATGGCATCTGCGCCAGTTGGTCAAAACAGCGCTTCGGGCTCTTTGGCGGTGATCTTGAAGAGCACGCTTGTGTGATCATAGCAGTAGAGCTCACCAGCTGCTTTGGCAGCAG